ATTACACAATTTCTTCAAATTATATTTGAATTTGATTATGGATTAATGTTCTAGGGAATTATAATGAATATGATTCTGCTCCCTATTTTTGTTACATAATTTATTGTAATGGATAATTTATATTATTTGTCACAAAAATAGCTTCCTAACTTAAAAATAATTTTAGTTGTTTTAAAGTGAATAAATGATATTCCAATGTTTATAAGGATCTACTCTTAAAAAGTTTTTGCGAGTGTGTTACTGCCCTAAGGGAATTTTGTCCTCAGTCACTCACATAAAATCAAAATATTTAATTATTACATACGAATTCAATGATATATGTCTAGGCTCTAGAATGAAGTTGCCATTATATCCTACTCAGAGAGTTTATCACACGATAAAAAATTCATTAGTGTCACCGGTTAAAATTAAAAATTAAAACCGAATATGCTCTCGAGTAGAGCAAAGACTTAACTACAATATCATATGAATCATTAATTAATGACAAATATAATGTTTTCGTATGTTCAACATCTAGGTAAAATATTACAGTAAATAAAAAAAAAATATCTCCTTCAGGTAACTTCTGCGAAAAATAAAATCTAAATTACTAAATTTACATCTAAAAACAAATACACCCCATTTTATCAAATCAATAGGATATTCCTGATGAAAACAGATGTTACTTACACACAAAATCATCAACAGCTTTTATACTTTTTCACCATTTCTGCGGTGTTGTTTGTTGTAGATATTGACGTCTTGGCAAGAACTAAAATGAAATTGGAAAGTTAGGAAACACATAAATAATTATAATATAGGTGAAATACAGAATAAAAAATATACCTATACAAGTAGGTCCTTAAGTTTTGAAGTGTTATTTTTTAATACACAGCAACATTTTTTTAAATTATACACAGGTTGTCAGTTCTATATCGAAATGAAGTTCAAAAAGAATTTTTTTTCCCTTATGATATACATTTTATTATTACATCTATTTCGTGAATAATCTTACATAACATCTTAATTTATGCTCATGTTGGAATTGTCATAATATTTAATTTTTATATTCTGGTAGGAGCTTATACGTCCCCTTTTTATGTTTGTGTAGGAAAGTAGTATATTATACTACATATACCTATAGCTTATACCATTCACCACAATAAAATATAAATACCTAATAACGTTGCGTTAACCATATTTTGATGAATTGATTTTTTTATATTATCTATGATTCTATAGATTCTATAAACTATCAGTACAGATATAGTGTACAATAGACATGTAGATTTGTATGCATAAGTATAACAGTGAATCAGGTAAGTTAAGTTGTGGGCTTTGAACTTTCTATATAATATTATAGATGTATGCAAATGAATTATTAAAAATTATAATTAACATAAGTCAATGATATATTATTAATAGTTATACGTACACGTAATATCTGTATACTTAAGCTCAAGTTAGGTTAGGTTAGCATATATATATATTTTTTTTTTGTTGTTTTTACATTAGCTTATACTGAGTTATACAACTCGGTGACATAACTGAATTAGAATTTTAATTTTGTTAATGCATTGTTATTTTTGATGACTAAACTGTGATGAACATAATATATAATATGTATATATATATATTAGTAAATTATTTTTTAATTAAAAAAGAAAATACGCATCTATAGTGGAGAGAATAATATATTGTACAATGAAAGCGCACAAAACTTTTTGACTTTAATAATCGTATTAAAACGAAAATTATTCGTTTTGTAGAACGCAATTTTATCGCATCGTTGCAGTTACCTGTTTAATAATATCCCTCACGATGTACCAAGGTTATATATAGTATACACTATACATAGTATAGTATAATATTGTGACGAGAAAAGGGTAGGATAAATAGTAAGAGACAAACATAGTATTCTGACTTTTATTTCATTGTAAATTAATTCATCACATCTTACACGTAAATAATTATTGATAAAACATCTTATGTAAACTAATCTAAATAGATACGTTTCGTTTGAAGGAGCGACAACAATAATATAAATATTAATATATAAATTCATGTACCATCGAGTCGAAAGCGTAAAAAGGAAAAACAAACGTTTATATAATATGTATATGTTTCAATAATTATAACAATATATTATTTTACGAATACGATTCACTTAAATCAACTATATAAATATGTAATGTATATTATATAATATTTTATCGTTCGGTAACGATTTAAATATCATTATTTTTTCCTCGGAAACACACTTAAAGACGCAAACGTAAAAGATGACGTCGCAAGCTTTGGATGTGTCTTTTTTTAATGTTTTATTTCAATATACCTTTAGAATTATTACGCTTCGTAAATCGTTCACCGCATACACTGCAGTGAGTACACATCACGTCATACATTAAATTATAATAATATCATTATTGTAAATATACGTTTAAGGAAAGAATTGAATCGATCCTGTTAAATGAATAGTTTTGACAAAATAAAAACAATATTTACACAAACATAATTATAACTAATACACATATATATTATTATAACATATGGACATTCATATTGAAAATTACAACCCATCTGGACCAATTATTTTTACAACGATATTGTTTGATATTATGCAATTGATAATTTATAATATTATTTAGTAAATAAATAGGTGTTTAATTACATTATTTGTATTTAATTATTCGTAAGCCATTAATTTTTTTATTAGTTATCCTTTTCAATTTACTATATTATTGTTATGCAGTGCTTAAGTGAAATAACACAGAATTATATAACATTAACTCGATGAAGTGAAGAAAAATAATCTTCCTCCCAATCAAAATTGAACAGGGTATAATACAACTTATTTTAACTCAGATATTATGTTACACCACAAACTTAGCCTGTGGTTAATTTATACCTGTGGTTATAAACATACATAAAGTATAATTTTTCTTCCCTCACTGCCAATAATATTGCCTAAGTTACGTCTATGCCAATTAAAATATTAAAAAAAACCATGCTCATAATAAATCGATCTTAACCACTCTATTACAATATATTATTTTTATTTGTGTATTTTAAGCACCATTATCTCATAAAGACTCAAACGCCAATGCTGGTGGCTTTTTGTTTCACCCCCATAAGTTTGCACCCTACCCAATTGTACGTATTGACCGTGTTAATGATATTAATCTGTATATCTAGTACATATTACTATGATTCATTTTATGACGGATATAATATACTTTATATTATTCTTCTCATTTGTGACCAATTTATCATCGAGCTTCACCCGTCATCCGTCATTCTCACTGCCGAGTGAATCGTTTGTATGTCAGTTGCCATGTTTGCTCCTTGTGCACTGTGCACAAGTCAGCCGCCGAGTATGTTTTTTTAATCCGAAAGAACGTATAATGTTATATGAAAACTAATATAGGAAGGTATATTATATGAATATAACATATGATATAATATGAATAATACAACGTGACGTTAATGCACGATTAATACGTAATGTGGCCGTTGGCTTAGCAATGATGACTGATGGAAAATATAACCACTCACTGCGAGTATACCATATTATACTATTCAATAATATCAACAGCGGTCACATCTGCCAAGTTCACGGTTGCCACAGTCACGTATTCATGAAAATGGTCACCGAAGCATTTAAGAGATTCGCAAATCGTCGGGTCGTATCAAACACTTATTCTGATTGGCTTATTAAAATGCTGTTGTAGGTTTTTAATCGTATCTATCAACTCGATACAACGGATACTACGGAATTGAATATATTCTGGTGTATTCCTGGTTTCCGGTTATTCACTGATAATAGAGATAATTCTAATACTATAATAGTTTATTTATTATTATTTATTTGTATGTATTAGATATCGACAGTGAAAATATTATTTCGGAATACATGATAAGACATTACGCAGTAATTGTGAGCACTCCCCCTTTATGGTTTCGGTTAGCTTCTAAATGTCCATCTAACGAATAATGTCAGGTAAATAATTGATTATCATCAACAATTAATACACAATACATATACTTATTAAATTAAATGTGTATAACCTACTATGTACTACCTACTTTGTACTGAATACAATCTATCAATGTTGTGCTTTTAGGTAAATATTATTTATACTATTATTAGTATTATTAACTTATTACAAAATATGAAATATAATTCAGAACTATAACGTCATAATGTCAACATGAGAATAACTAAATAATTTATATATGCTATGCCCACAATAAGATTGGCTGATGGTTCGAAATATTATAATTCCGTTCTCGGAAAAAATCAATTTATAAGGAGTGACATTGCTCTTCCAGTATGACGTATACAAGCGAGGAAGTTTTGTTGTTCAACAAGTGCCCCTCGCCAACCTAAAAATATTTTGAAACAATTATTTTTTTTTGAAATAGCCATGTAAGATTATTAATATTTATTAGAAAGCTAGTTTTAAAATGTTATATTTTATTTTAATACGAACTCTAAACAGGTATTCAAAATTGATCTAAATAGGCTTTTTTTAATTGATCCAAATGGGTCTTGGCCATATATTATATAAATCTTAGCGAATTATATGAGTATTACTTATTCTAATAAACACATAAGATTCGTTTGAGTACAATCCATGGCGTCAGACTTGACAACTTAACTCGTGAGAATATACAAAAGTAACGAATGCGCCTCTTGAAATTGTACAAAATGATAGGTATCAAGTATTTTTTTTTCGCACAAAAGTATTTTTTCTTATCTTAAACACCACGTAATATATTCATATATTTTAATGCTAATTATAATTATTAAAAAAAAAAAAAATAAGGCGCTATTTACAACGAATTATCTATAATATGATAAAATTATATTATTTTATACAATGTACAAAAAAATATTCGTCTATTTTCAAACGAATATTTATAATAGCAATATATGATATAACAACAATTATAAAAACAATTTGTGCTTTTTATATTTGTTTTGTAAATTTTCTATGGATATTTTTTTAATCTTGCTATATTATACATGTATGACGTATATTGTATGAGGTAAACCTTTTTCGACAATATTGTTACTATCTGACGACGACGACAAACCGGAAATGGAAAATATTATTGTCATTTTCACGCGGAAGTTACGCGCTGCAACCCACGCCGGACAGGAACTCATTGTTACTCGTACGAACGATAAGACTCAACGTTGTTCCGGAAGGAAAAAAATTCACAATAAGGGTCTGTCGTCGGCAGACCGCTGCTGTAGTTAAAGGTTAGGTTTTCCAGACGGCGGCACGGAAGTTCCGCCTTCTTTGGGTTATTTATCTTATGGGCGTACGTTTTAATATAATATATATATATATATATATCATATTATATTTAAACATACATATTCAAATCGTTTAGCATGCACATCTACTCCACCTGCCTATTTACCCATATCATATAGATACGTATGTCGACAACGCAGCGCGCCAGAGTAACTTGGCTCAATGAGATTTAACGTATAAAAGATATCACGATAATAAATCGTATAATTATGGTGTTGTGGAAAGTTTTATGTGGTCGCATTTTCGAACGATTGTAGATATTTTATTGACCGCTTTCGTGGTTTACTCAATCGGTCAAATAGTCATCCATGTTTTACAAAATAATATTCGTGCAACACCGTCTACCACCGATTTGAAAGTTAATGGTTTTTTAATCGGGATTTCACAAACTTGTAAACATTATAACACTTACACACACACACACTCATATATGCATTCCATATATTATATGCCATAATTTTACGATCTCGATTAAACCTAGAAGTTAGAACCAGAAGGACGGCTTGAACGAAATTATAGTGAAATTTAATTAAGTTTTAAACGTAACTGTTATAATAATAATTAGTTAATTGTTTTGTCTGCGCCCTTTTCTTATTTGAAAACGCTTGAGTATATAACTGTATATTGTTTGATAGTTTGCACGAAAGTTTTTGTTTTATTTAATATTTTTTTCCGAGCAATAACTTTTGTTTACACATTTATTACTATTTTAATTTTTATATTGTCATAATATTGTTTGTACTCATCGTACAGGTAACTGATCTAATGAATTTTCAAATAGAATGGTTTTTACTTATTAAGTAGCCAATTTGATGGAAAACTGTTCTTGAATATGAAATGTATCATTTCTCATTTTGACAGTATTTTAAGATTGAGTACACAACTGAATGGTGTATTAGAATTGTGGCATAAGGGATGGTGAACTAAATGGAACTGGTAAACAAAATTTGTTCATACATTTATAATTATTTAATTAAATATTTGATATATCGACCTATAACGTGTAATTAAACAAATTATAAAACTTGGTGTATTTTGGTGTAGTAAATTTATCGCTCAAGACGACAGATTACCAATAGTAAAACTCAAATAGATACTTATAGTTTAATCTCCGATCACATCATACAAAAATCTTCTTTGAAAAATACTGATATTCCAATTATGACTTATAAGTTATAACTATACAACTGTATTACCAAGTTAAGAATTAAAGATGTTGAATGTTTTCCGCTGCAGTTGTTCAACAGTATGCTGTATTATGAAATATTTTAGTAAATAATGTATAGTCATAATGATTGGACTTAACAGTGCATAAAACGTACATGATCCATCCTAATGGACTAATAACACCGGTCGACATCATTTCATCGAAAAGTGCATTATCATACATTATGCATGCGAAAAGAGTCGAAAAAAAAACAGACGGCTGGTGTGAAAGCGGTCATGACGCAGGTACAGCACTGTCGTGAAGACGGCGAAGAGGAGGGATGAGGGGAAATAATAAAAATCCACAGGTAATACGACATTAATATTATTATTATTAAAAAACGTACCGAACGATCCCCGCGTTATTGCATCTCGGTGTCTAGATACTGCACCCGTCATAATAACATTATTATCGGTCTGCACTCTCGCCTCGAATTAATTTTCTTTTTTAATCCACTCTTTCGCAGGTGTCGGATAAACATTTTCTCAGCAATAAATCATTTCAAACGCGATTAATTACTCTACATGAGCGAGAACTGCAATATATTACAGAACGGAATGTTTTTTGTGTTTTTTTTTTTACAGGGACTACATTATTATTACGCCGCCGAAAGAATACCCGAATATTCTAAAACTGTTTATTCGCTCCAAACAAACATCGGCCTTCTGTATTGTGGAAAAGAGATTGATATGTTTTATCGTTCGTCTCTAGTACCCTCGTCACATCCGCCCATGCACCGCTACAAAGCTGGTCGGTATTTCAAAACGAACATAACAACAACAACAACAACAACACTGTATTTGAAAGAGCAGTAATAAATAGATATTAAAAATAAAAATCGTTTGTGTGTTTAAAAAATTGAACTCCTTCAACTTGTTTGAATGGGTAATCAAAAAGAATTTTTGATCCTATCACTAACAATGTACTATTAAATATTGTATTGAAAGCATGGAGAGGATGCGATAGAACCAATAGATGGTGCGAACATTTACTAGACCACAGACAGTGTTAAAACAATTTAACTTGACTCAATTAAAAAACAAATAAATCTACTTTTTTATTAAATGTGCGGACTACGAGGATATAAATTGTATCTATATTATTTAACGTTATTTTATAACCATACATAACAGAAAGATTTATAATTATTAGTATCAATAATATAATGTTAGATTATTTTTATTTAAAACAATATAAACATTAAACAGTGATTACTAATATTAACGTATAGAACCATAAATTTAATTTTTTTTTCATATTGACATGATGGATTGTTTTTGAAAAAAATTAAGTTATTTCAATAGTCAGATAATCTAGTTAAGTCCCTAAGTTAAGTTACTAATTAGTTTGTTAAAAAAAAATTAATTGTTTCATTATAAGTTAACTAGCTCACCTTTAGATATAGCCATAAAAGTGATAGACATTTTGTTCGTTTCATTGTAAACTGCTGTACATGTAAGTGAGTGTACTAATTTCGATGAAAAATAAAATCGATTGAAATATTGGGTTACTGTTTGTCACGTCGCGAACATTGAACATAATATTCAATTTATCAATTCTCATATTGTAATATTCAAGGTATTACGTCTATAATAATAGATACTAAAAACAAGCTGCAATTGTGCCACTGCGGACGGAGTTCCACGAAATTTGGGGACTGATAATAATAATATTATTGTGTTGACGAGCTTGCTAGTTTTACGTATTTATTTGCTACGTTACATTTTTCGATTATTTTATGTCATTCCGACATTTCACAAGAAATGCGACCGCGTATTATATAAATTATAAAAGAATAAAGTATTTCGAATAATAAAACGTTTCATTACTAGAGCATAGATTTTGCAGACGTTCTTTTACGCGAGTACCTAATCGTGTCATTTAAAAGGGACTTTTTAAAATGATCAATTTACTGTGGTCTTAAAAAATATTGACCATTTTTAATGTATATTTTGAAATATTCGTACTTGATATAATTTTGTAAAATGTTTCAAATTCAATTTATTTGAAGCAGTTTTTTAGATTAGATATAGTTCGAAACGAAACGAATATTTGAATGAGCCAAATTTAAATAATATAGTAATATATATCAATATGATGCCCACGGTGATAGAGTGCAGTTCTGTTTTTTACACTAGTTAAATAACTTATATTAACATTTTATGGAAAACTATTGTTAATAACTGCGCTGGATCTCTTCGAATTTTTTAATATTAATTTATTTTTAAAACCTTCCAGTTGAAGTCTTAATATTGAACAATTGAATTGTATTTAACCATATATGCCTCTATAGTTAGTCAGTGTTTATATTCACGAATAAAGTCAAATACACAGCTATGTTGCCTGTCATGTCTTGTTGGGTCCAAAAGTTGAGATCGGCCCAACTATTGACATCTATTGGTTGGTCAATGATACCAATATATCATGATTACAACGGCCGATCAGATCAAAATAAAATCCACACGACACTATAGATGACTCAGCTGTGGTCTCGGCTTGAGAGATTTTTGCGGTACCACAGGATACCATGATTGCGGAGAACACCAATAACCAGGAAAAAAACAGGTAATGAGATGTATGTGAGTGTGTGCGAAGTGAGAATTTGAGACCTTGGTTTAGACCTTCCTGGCGGGCGGAGGTGGAGGCCACGAGTGCCGCTTGCTGCGGCCGCGGTACTTACACATGAGCACCCGTTTGAAAGCCTGTCGGAACACTTTATTGAATATGGTGTAGAACACCGGATTGACCATGGAACTGGCGTAGCCCAGCCACGTGACTAGATCAATGAGGCCCTTGCTGATGCCGGCCTCACAGTTCGGGCACACAGACGGCAGCAGGTTGAGCGCAAAGAAGGGTGTCCACAGAAACACAAACGTAAAGAACACAACTCCCAACACCTTAGTGGCCTTCTGCTCTAGCCGGATGATGCGGCCGTGCCGGTACGAGTTGCGGATCATGACGCTTGACCGGCTCGCGTTGTTCGACCGTTGTGGCGTCGCTTGCTGCTGCGGTCGCGATGGCAGGCCCAGCGTAGATCCATACCGGACGAGTGGCGAGTGCCGTTTTCCAGTGGCTGACGTCATGTTCACGGTTGGCGTCTGCTTGCGAATCGGTTTTTGCGTCATGGCCCGGCGCAACGGTTGGACACCACCCGAGGCTACAGCTAACGTCGTCGTCTTGGACGCGTTGGACGTAGGTGACCACACGGTCAATGTGTCCACTCGCGTGGCAGTCTGTGGATGTCTTTGAGTCGGTGTCTTGGTATGTGCCGTTCTTGCAGCCAATACAGGTGATGGGGAGAGTGACGTCACCGATGCCGCCGTCACATTACGGGTGGCAGAACCACCGCTGTTTGCGGACTCAGAACGTCTGCGACGCAGTCGTCGGCGAGGTGGTGGTGGCAGCAGACAGATCTCTTCGTCCAGACCAGGTTTCCGTTGGAATTCCTGTTTTAGTAGAGTCCCTACGATTTTTGGCCCACTATCCACAGTTGCGGGCCCGTTGACGTCTGACGAGGTGGGTCCTGTCCGGCTCCTGGTCAGTTCGTCCTCGTGGAAGCTCCGGACTCGAGTGGGTCGTCCCTGGTGATGGTGCTGCTCGTGGTGCTGGTGATGATAGTACGGGTGTGAATGGTGGTGATGGTGTAAGTGGTGGTGGTGGTTGGGGCCGTCAAACCGTCGGCGCATCGATTCGTGCAACGTGCCCGACCGTCGCCGCCGCCATCGCTGCCGCTTGACCCGCCTACTCCGTGGAGTCCCTGTGGAAGTGGACGCGTTTTCTGAGCACATCGAATCACAAGCACCTACTCCTTCTACTTCCAATTCTAATTCTTCTTCTTCTTCTTCACCATCTTGTTCTTCTTCGTCGTCCATGTCGTCAACGTTACATAAACCGTCTTCGTCATCGTCGTCGCCATCTTGGCCACCACCGTTGTCCGACAATCTGTAGATAAAAAAGAAAAATGATTCATTAGAAATCAATAAACGTAGTAACCATTTAAGTCAAACTGATATATTTTTATACGAGTATATATATACGAGTGCCATTATTTCTACTCTTGTTTTATCGGGTCAGTTACAATTGTGAACATCATTGATATAGTCACTATTAATAGATCAGAAACGTTATGGGCTTATGGCTATATTAGGAGGAAAGCTCGAGAGATAATTCAAGTATCATCACGAGCATAACTGAATGAAAACATTGATGCTATTGTATTAGATAAATTTCGCCAGTACGTGCTATCCTATGAAGTGTTCACCTTTTCATGGATAACAACGTTGTTTATCACAAATTAGAAATTCCAAAACAACTTATTAATACCCAATATACTACCCACTTGACACGAGGATGTTGGAAATTGTATAATTTGGAAAAGAGACAGTGTCTGGTTAATTTATTTATGTAGTTACTGATTAGTATGATCTTAAATATTTATATCAGGGATGTGGAAAGCAGTTATTATAGTTAGGTGATAGGAAAAAATAAGATGATAATAAGTGTACATAGATAATTTAATCAATATTCTTAATATTTACAAACGCCTATATTATATTGTAAATATAATTTAAGCCTTGTTTGAATAAAAAAATAAATACATAATCACAAATAATAAGCCTTTAATAATAAAAAATATTTTAATGATAATTAAATAAACACTTACAAAATAATCTGATATCAAATATATAAATAAGTAAATATTATTTCTAACACAATATAATAAGAAGGTATTAAATGTATAGATTGGATTTTTTGATACTGGTTGTATATTTTATTTATTTAGTTTATGGTTACTGATTACTTATATTAAGATGTATGAGTATCATTATGGTTGCGTAAGTTAAGAGAAATTTTGATTTAGTAGAATTTTGGTGGCATATCATAAATATATGTCAGTTATTGTAAGTGACTCACATAATGTTGATAAAAGATTTTGTTGTGTTCACGTGTGAGATTATAATCTAGTTGGCATCTGTTTTAAAAAGTAATTTAATGATAACTGTGCTTTAGTCGAAGAATATAGGGTTTATTGAAATATAGCACGTAAAGAGAAAAATGTAAGGTTTTCGGTTCATCTTCATTATTATTGAAATATGGAGGGAGAATTGATAGGTATCTTTAGATGCTTAGTTACATGATATAAAGTGATATATTTTCAGTTATTTTTTCTCCCCCCAAAACTAGAAAGAATGTTATTCAAACACTATTAATGATATTAAATGTTCCATCTATTGCAGTGACACATTTACAATTAATATCCAAATATTTTGACTGAAAAATAATGTTAATACAGCATGAACATAATTATTGTAAAACCATTTAAATTTTTTTGCACAACTTCGATAAAAAAATTGCTGTATTATCTATTTTTCATACTACATTTGGTACAAAAATTATATCAAGCCAAGATAAGTAGCCAATTATTTATGTTCTTATATTCTTCGTTCACATTGTCTTTATCAATATGGTAACACCGTCATATTTGTAACAATGCCAATTTGCTCTTTGTCCAACAATATTATAGCAAGTATAGATTTTTGATGACATGAATACTAAATCAGTTAATTTCATCACAGGATTATACTTATACAGTTTATTAAGTACTATAATATTATCTATATAATTACCTTATTAATAAATTGATTATAGCACTATTCATGTATTTTTCTTTTAACGATTGATTTGACATTAAACATGCTCCAACAAATTTATACTTTTGCATTTTTTAAAATTATATTGATTATTGAAACATAATGTTTTACTTAGGTATAGTATTATTTTTTGCAGAAGCAAAAAAAAATACATTTTATAGGTAATTAATTAGATACAATATTTAAACGTTTGAGTTCAATGAATAACAATTTTAAATACAATTTTTCTGAACCTTAACACAAAATACGTTCTGATGATTAGATTCGTATCGTCAGATGTGTATCGTGATGCATTTCCTTGGATTTATTTTCCTTGATTCCCTTTATCGTTCACATATTCGTCCGATGTTCAAATAACAGACAAACTATAGAAACTATATTTGCAACCCCGGACCGTTCATGCTATAAAGTTCATATCTCAACTATATAATATAGAATGCATGTAGAATGCCTACTATCACTCGATCTCAAGTTTATGAAAATACTGCATATTTGTTAGCAAGACTTCTTTACAGCTCACTGACCTCACCGACGGTTCATAGATAATAACAATAAAAAAAATCTCACACATTCTTTACCCAGTCCTCTGGGAACGCTCTTGAACCGAAAAAATCAAACACTATACGCTATTGAATTGCATGTAATAAATAAATATATATATACACCAATATGGGTTTACGGTCGTCTAATCGTCCGGAGAGTATATTTAATATATAAGTGTACCTAGTCCGTACACGTATGTTGGCTAAAACAATCGAAATCCTATCAGTATTTTTTATGACACGTATACGAAAACAATAACTCGACATTTCTCGTGTTGAAATTGTATATCGTTCATATTTTATACAATGCGGTGGCTATAAAGCGGTGGACGCATTTACTTTGGGTGTGTTTTTTATTTCGTATCTATTTTTGAGAGGACAACGAATATAATTATCAAATTTGGTGCAATAAAGTCTTCAAGTGGGAAACTAATTATATCATGTAGTAGACTATTATAGATAATTTCATGTTTATATATTATTTCAATGGCTGGTCTGAAAATTGTTGAAGGGGAGAGATTAAACATATTAAAAGTAAAGATTTTTAAATATATACGAGGACATAATTAAATCTATTAAACAAATAATTTAATAATTTAACAATTTTTTATAATTTATCATAAGAACCCACCTATATTATTTTCTAAAGAGGTAGGGAAACTGCTCCTCCTCTTCTGTGCTCATAGGGATGGGAACCAATTTTTTTTATAAATTATTATAATTTAAGTTAATAAAATCAAAAATGTATTCATGTCTCCCATGTATACACTTGACTTAAAATTGAAATATGTTTTAAAAATAGTCTTATCGCCTTACTGGATTAATAATTTTACGTTAGAAATAGCAAACTTTAAATTGTCTATGTTGCGCATGTTCGACAAAAACAAAACTTTGTAGTTTTGAAGCTTTAACTAAAACACGCACCCAAAGTTATCATAGAATATTGAAGGATTATAAATAGATACTACATACGCCTGTATTTTAAAAACTATTTATAAATAAGCAAAAGTTTTCAAATGATGATAATTTTTAGTCATAATGCTTATTGGTCTGTCCATTAATATTTAATAAAGATGTATTAAAGTATGCATATTATAGTACGTTTTTATACACAGACATTAAAACTATCACAAAACTTTTAAACTTGATGTAAGCACCATGACTTAAAAAAAAATCCAATGTTATGATATATAGGGAATCCACTCCCCCCACTACATTATTCCTGTTATAAATAATACTTCATAGTTTATACACATAAGTGTATTCTATAAACATAAACAAAATTGGAATTAGTGGATTTTTATTTCTGTTTTCATGATATTACTAATTTTATTTTTGTTGATATTTCTATTATAATTTCGATTTGAGATTTTTAATGGATTACGATATTTGGAGTATTATGTTAATCATGGTGATTCTTAATATTATTAATGTATTTTAGTACTCAAACTGAGTTATAAGCTCATGGAAAATGCTGCAGTAACTGTGCGAAGATTTTGAGCTATTATGGGCAGTGAATTGTTATGAATTTATGAAGGTTTCACATTTATATCGGAGAAAATGTTTATGAAACATCCTGTATTTTAGTACGGTTTTACATATTTCTGAACTTCAAATCCTTTATTTTTTGTTTTTAATATTATATTATTATAATATTAATATTTTTTAAATTTTAAATGAGTGTCGTAAGATTTTATTTTTTTTTCCAACTTTCACATTAATTATGTTTTCGATTTATCACGCAATTACTTGCTGCCTGCCTATAAAATATATACGTAATCATCTATTCCTGAAATTTTCATAAATTTATTTTCGTATTTTATTTGGCTCACGGCCGCACTTGGTTTCAATTGGATCGTTTCATAATTTACATGTTACTTCTAAAATAATTTAAATATTTATCGAATTAATTAGTTGTGAAAAGTCAGTGTTTCGTAGTTGAATGCGGCTCATGCTCTATAACCAGCGAAACTTCTTAAAATGTATTAAGTGAAAGTTTAAAATTGAAATTAGTCGTTCTCAGTTAGAATATAGTAACAAAAGTATAATAACTTTGAGCACTTGGCATGGAAGAATATTATTCGAAGTCTTAATTCAACTTACAAAAATATAACAATCATTACCCATTCAACATATCACATATAGATATTTTAGTTTAACTGGAAAAAAAATAAATGTTTAGTTTTGGTCTAGACTCTATTATTATTTTATGAAAATTGTAATAACGAGAAAGATATTGATAAGTACATATATTTTCTTGCAGCTATAAAACGTTTTACTTCATATTTTAGATTTTTAAACGTTTTTATTTTTTATCACATTTTACGAAAAGAGTAAAACGCCAAAAGCAATCAAATGTTTAAAAAATAAATATGTATATATTTATATAGAACAGTTTTGTTTATGGAACAACATACAAATAATGATAACATCTAAAATGCACAAATAACGTACGACATTCCAAAATTACGCAACATGAAATAATTAGTGATTAAATGTTGATAGTGATAGGCAAGTTGTATAACATTGTTCATAATAAATTTGGAATGATTTTAATAAATATAATGTTTGGATAAGCTGATCTATGAAAACAGCAGCATCCATTCAGGGATAACCAGAAATAAAACTGAAATAAAAGTCGAAACAATATATTTATTTGATTGTAAATGAGCAGTTGAACGAGGCATTAATTAGGTGGGTATGAATTATATTTTACGAATTATGGTTTATTGAATATTATTGATATTTC